GAGTGTGTGTGTGCGAATGAGAGATACAGGAAGCATTTGTGTGTGTATATACCCGTGTTTATGTTTCAGTTCGTGTTCATATGTTTTTTTAACGTCTGTATTTGTATATTATTTTAGATTCCTGAAAGGGTTATATACTTTATCAGATGAACGTACGTGTGGGATATTCAAAACTAGAATTCTGGTTCCGATTAATTTATACGTGTTTGGTAGTAAATGTTGTGTTTTGCACGAATTTGACTCTGTTTTGTGCGTATGTACGAAAACAAAATAGGCAAACACTAAAGGTATACGAGGGTTTTATCATTTTGTGTAACTGCATATACTGACTGCTAAGGGACATGCACTTACTGCTCTAAATTAAATTTTCCGCGTCGTGAAATAGCCATATCACACTAAAAATGATAGAGTACAAACCTACCTTTAAGCAAGTATTTAATAATTGTTCTTCCTGCAACTGAGGTCAGTTCGAGCTCGACAGCTCCTTTCATGTTCTGTAATTCCATTGCATGGTGCCGCTCTGTGACTCGATGCTCTGTTGTCGCACCATGTCCATCAGTGCATAAAAATAACAGATTTATACACAACACAGCAAATAATTTGAACTGCATCTTGGCCTTTTGTGAGTGTGTAGATGTAGGGCGGCTATATGATCACCCTCGTGCAATTATGTTCTCGATTATTTGAATGCACTGTTTATATTTTAAAGTTGATTATACGAAGTATATACACAAATCTATAAAAGGCTGACTCATAGTACTCTCCTGCTGCCCGAGCCCCGCACTACAGAATAAAACAGCCCTCTTCTATATCAATCTATGGCGTATCACGGTATCACAGACTATCAAATGTCAACATTGAAATTTGAATACGTTTTTGTGGACTTTATCGAAGACGACTTTTTTTTATTTAAATATGACGTTTTCCTGAAATAGAAATTTTATATATATAATACTCCCGTAACCATGGCAAAATGACAACTTCACAACTCAAAAAATCGAGAACACGTGTGATTTGATGATCTCGTACATACATTGCTATGACTCATAATATATAGAAATAAATAAATATGTAATTAATAAAACAAAGTAAAATTGATTCAATGCGGTATATAAAATAAACTTTTTTTAAAGACACCATGTTCACAACATTTGTTATTGTTTGTATCACCGCCTCTTTATCACAGACATCCAGGGTTGCATCAAACAAGCGCCAGATCAAGGATCATGATACAGAATTGCAGGTTAAGTCATTTTGGACATCCCCCTTGTTTCGGAGTTTTAGGGTTTCTCACTGTTTGCCTTTTAATACTTCTATTATCAAGTATGTAGTAAGTCGAGCAATTTGGTCACAATTTTGTATCGGATATGTGGGTTGTAATTTATACGGCCACAAAATATACAAAGTTTGCTTGCGACAAAATGTAGGTATCTTCTATTATATCGTGGCATTTCTGAACATTAAAGTTTCGTGCGTCACAAAGGCCAAAAAAAAATCATCTAGACAAAGAGTACCATATAATTGATTACAAGCAGCTTAATGTCACGGCAATATACGTGTACATTGTGATATCGCCAGTTAAAAGTACAGGTCCGAATTCTACGGAGTAGTTAGAGGTTCTATGATTACCAACAAAATGTATTACCATTTCCATGGCCTGTACATAAGAGATTAAAAATGCTTTTTGTTGAATATCTTATGGCTTTTGGGCGGCACATGAAGTCCTCTTGTAGCTTAAAATGTGACCGGAATGGCTTTTGGGAGGCACATAAGCTTTGTTGAAACTTATATGGCTCTCGTTGTAGCATACTATATACAAAAGTCATTATAATAGTTTGATTATGTATCACCACATAGTAGTTTGAGTATAATTGCTCGTACATGTTAGGCTTAGCACATACCGGTTGAATGTTTATAGATATGGTGATAAATTTGAAGATTTTTCATGTCTGTCTGTCTGCCGAAAAACACGACTCAAAATGAAAATTGTAGACTTATAATTTTAAGTATTCGAAAGGGTATTAATACAGATTCGCTTTAAGTGCTGATTGTACATCGGTATGTGTGACACCTGAGTGTTGTTGTGGATACGGCGTTGTTCACACTTTTATTTAAGTCACTACTGCGCACATGCGCGTGTTTCGATCTATGGTCACATAAAATACTGCAAGGTTATAAAACTTGACTCCAACCTATTTTTAAATACTCTATCTCTATCGGTGCGAGTGGCGATATTTTGAAGGAATATTTAAACTCCTGGAATGGAACAAGGGCGCTCTTAATATTTTTTACAATAAAAAGCCTTATATGACGTCATATCATCTTGCACTCAGTTCGGTACATAAGTCAAAATGCATACCAACAGGGCAACAGTTGACTCCTAAATTGATGAGGAATTTTTTTTTCGTCCCCTCATTGTTTTTTTAGGAGTTCTAAAAGGCTTTTTGTACAATAACGAGATTAAATCAGGTGATAAATAGAAAACTACATCATAGATACATATTTAAAACCCATTCGTAATCGAACGGCTTAGGTTACTACGTATCCCAATTAAGTCACAATACTGTGTTGAAACTAAATATTAAACATAAATACTGTTAACGCTCAGATATCAACGAAACGGTGTGAGTGGCGACGCATCATGAGTAGTACTCTCGCCTTGGAGTGGGCCTGTAAGATCTGCAACATCATCTTCTACGTCTCGAGTTGGTATGTCATAAATGTACCTGTATGTATCATGTAAACATGCACATATGTATACGTATATGCATGTTTATATGTATATGTAAATTCATATGTATACTAATAGATATCAAGCATATGCCTGAACTACTTACAATAGCGGGATTTGAGTGTATGACCCTTCATTGGTTGACTTTTTCTTTTGGCTGTCGCGACCACAGTCTGCTCCTACAGGGGTCTCTACACACAGCTGGTGCGACATTAGCCTCGATTATGTCTATATTGTATTTAGACTATATTATTATCAATTGTATATGTCAACTGTTTCGACTGAAAAATAATAGGTAACGATGAGCTAGCTAATACTAGAATTTGCGTGTATTTGCCGTCACACTAACACACGCACACGCGTATAT